CGGCCGCGGCGCTCCGGAGCGACTGGGTTAGCAATTTCTGCAGGGAGCGACTCCGCTAACGCCGCCGGCTGAGCTCGGCATCGCGGTCCCCGTCCCTCTCTTCGCCCTCTTTTGCCCTCTTCATACCCGCAAATCTAATAATAATAATCAAATGCACATACGCACCTAATAATAAACTTTTAACAAATACATGTATATATGTACTTCGCGCCCTGCCGGCCAAGTGCGCACGGCTGAGGGGGAAAAAAATAATACATTCCTGATCGAATAAAATGAAAAGGCAAACTGAAAAGCAGCGCCAGCCGCACCCCGTCCCTGTCGCTGGCGGGAGAGCCCCTCCAGTCCCATTCCCGCACCCCCCAGCCCCATTCCCACACCCAGAAGGGGCCGTATCCTTTGCGGGAGGAGGTTTACTGGAAGCTGATGGGGAAACGTCGGGGGAGCGAGGCGGGACCGGGAGGAGGATGCTGCGGTGGGAGGGTGGGCAGTGCTCGGCTTGTGAGTGCTGGGCGAAAGCTGAGCACAGGTCCTGGGAAGTTTCAGCGCAAAACGAAACCAGATGAACTCTTCAAAGGGATCTCCTTATCTGCTCTTATCTGCTTCTCATAGGAATTTTAGATCTGCTTTTCAAATAGTAATTTTAAGAACCATAATGAATAACAATAATAATAGTACCGTTAATGATAATAATAGCAGCAGCAGCCAATGATAGGGAGAAGCAGTTTCTTTCCCCCGGCGGGCGGTGCAGGCTGTGCCCAGCGGCGCTGCGGGAAGGGGGATCGGGCAGGCCCTGACGTAGCGGATCGGGGCGCTCCGGTCACAGCAGAGATGTGTGCAGCATGCCCAGGTCAGGTTTCTCGTTAACGAGGGAGAAAACAAAAAAACCAACCCTCCCAGGACTCAATTCATCTCTTCTTCCCAGCACCACCTCCTTTGGTGCTTCTTTTTAATTCACATTGAGTATGTTTATTCATTGCTAGAAACTGCACAAGTCTGTGTCAGGTCTTTGAAAGCACTAAAAGTAGCGCCGAACTGAGGCTGGGCTCGCTTTCAGCCGCTGTGGGTGCCTCTGTCAGACCTGTGTGCCTGTGCCTGTCTGCGAGGGGAAAGTGGAATTTCTAACAGCATGTGTATGTGAGTGACATTTGGGGCAGAAGAAATAGGTGACAAACTGCCAATTGGGGGTGGTAATGTGCTGCACAGGTTCAGGTGTGGCTTTCGTGCCAAAACAGAATAGTGGTGCATCTGGGGTTACTGGAACACCTGGGAGGAAGCAGAGAAGCCTCCTCAGGATGTGGAGAAGAGTGCTGATGAGAAGCCAATTGTTTGAATTGATTCCTCTCTCCCTCTGCACCTTCTCCTTCCCATTTGTTTTCGGTGCCCCCAGGCAGAGTGACGCTCCTGAATGCAGGACACACAGCCTGTGTTCCGCTGGGATGCTCAGGAAGCCGTGCTGCACAGCGACATCTCCCTCATTACCTCTGCGTCCCTTGCACCTCCCTAATGAGAGCTTGGCTTTGGCTTGCTGATATTGAAATCTTTTTTTCCTTTTTTTTTTTTTTTCCTCTCCGTGTTATCTCTTCCAGATGCCTCCCCGTCGGCCTCGGAGCAGCGGTACCTCTTTGACATCTCCAGCCTGCCTGAGGCAGAGGAGGTGACGGGCGCGGAGCTGCGGATCCTGCGCTCGGTGCCCGAGAACCGGAGCCTGGCGCTGTCCGCCGAGGGCTCCTTCCACCGCCTCCTGCTCGCCGCCTGCCCCGCCCGGGACGGCGAGGAGCCCCGGCTGCTGGACTCCCGCGCCGCGGACCTTCTGGACGCGGGCTCCTCCCGATGGGAGGTGTTTGATGTCCGGGAGGCCTTGCGGGCCCGGAGGGAGAGCTCGGCCTCGGGGCAGCTGCTGTGCTTCCAGCTGCGGGTGGTGTCGGACGGCTCGGGGCAGGCGCTGCCCCCCGGGCAGCTGGGCTTCGGCAAGCCCCGGCCTCAGCCCCACGAGCGGGCCCTGCTCGTGGCCTTCTCCCGCACGCAGAGGAAGGAGAACCTCTTCAAGGAGATCCGGGATAAGATCAAGGCCCTGGGCAGCCCCCCCTTCCTGGAGCCCCCCGATCCCGGGCAGGAGGCGTTCCTGAGGCGCAGGAAGAGGAGGACCACCACTGCGGCCCGCTCCGGGGGCAGAGGCCACGGCAAGAAGGCCAAGACGCGCTGCAGCAGGAAGCCCCTGCACGTGAACTTCAAGGAGCTGGGCTGGGATGACTGGATCATCGCCCCCCTGGATTACGAGGCCTACCACTGCGAGGGGGTCTGCGACTTCCCGCTGCGCTCCCACCTGGAGCCCACCAACCACGCCATCATCCAGACCCTGATGAACTCCATGGACCCCGAGTCCACCCCCCCGAGCTGCTGCGTGCCCTCCAAGCTCAGCCCCATCAGCATCCTCTACATTGACTCTGGGAACAACGTGGTTTACAAACAGTACGAGGACATGGTCGTGGAGACGTGTGGCTGCAGGTAGCAATTTCTGCAGCTCTCCCTATCCCTCCTGGCCTTGCTCAGCAGCCCTGCCCATTTTATATATATATATAAATATAAATATATATATATAAAATATATATATAGATATATACACACGTACACATTTTGGTGTGTGCCTTTCCAAAAGCCAAGCTCAGAGCAGGTGTCCCCTGTCTTCCCTGGGCCACCCTGGCCATGACCCCAGGAGGGATGGCGTTGTCCCTCTGAGACTGAGGCTGCCACCATCTCTGTGCCTTGGGAATGTCTCCCCAGCCTCTGAGCTCTGCCTGATACACTTGGTCTGCCTACGTGGAGCTGACAACTTCTTTCCCAAATGTTTTGGAAAATGTCTAGCCAAAATTGTCTTGGCCAGAATGATGACCTGGGGTGGGGGGAGGTGGAGTGGTGTCTGCAGCAGAGGGATCAGGTCAGCATCACCCTCTGGCTGTGGCAGTGGGATGGAGGTGAGATAGGAATGCTCTTTGCTTTGAGTCAAATGAGTTTTTCTGGCAGTCTTCAAATTGCTTCCCTGAGTTTCCTGATGGAAAAATAAGAGATCCCTGGGGGAAGGCAGGGGGTGGAGAACCTGTGGCTGTCATGGGCTGTAATCACTTGGTGCAGGCCTGTTTGCAGTGGGGAGAGGCTTGTGAGTCTGCTGGCAGAGACAGGAAAGAGGGAGAACCAGAGGCTAAAAGAGTCAGGAGTGAAGCAGAGCTTGTGCTCTTACAAAGATGGGAGTGGCCCTGGGAGGCGTTAGCTGGGGGTGCCTCCACTCCACATGGTCAGAAGCGCTGGCTTTGCTGTCTGTGTCTAGCAGGAGGTACTGGTGGGTGAGTCCCCTCCCTTTCCTGCACAAAACTGTGTTTCCAAGGCATCCTGGGAGCCCAGCATCAGGCCTGCAAGTCACACAGCCATCCTGAGCCTGTCTGGAGAGAAACAAAGGTCCCAGGTTCCCTAGGGAAGAGCCATTTTGCTCGGGTTCTTCTCTTTCCAAATAATCTCTATAAAAGCACTAAGCTCCACCCTGTCTTCCTTTGGCATCGATTTCCCAGGGAGCTGTGTCCCTCCCTGGAGTGCTGGCTGCTCCCTGCTCCATTAAGGGAGCTGGATCCTCCAGGAGCAGACCTTTCCCATGCCGAGGGCTGAGTGCTACCCTCAGGGACTGCTATGCTAAGTGGGCTGCTTTGACATGTGCTGAAAGGGTTTCAGTAACTCAGGAGCTGAGTTAATAAATGACCTTTAAACCAGAGAACCTCTTCATCCATGCCAGGGTGTGCTTTGGATGCTGGGAGGCTTTTCTGCTGCACCTCAGTGGGTTTTGGTACCAAACTGTGGCTTGGCTTAGACCAGAGATGTGTTTGCACAGATTTTGTGTTTGATGGTTTGTTTTTTTCTTGTGGCCAGGGTGTTGGTGTGTAAGCATCAGTGCTTATTAGTGATGGGAGTTTGCCTTTGGAGGAGGTAAATCCCTGCTGGAAGCATGGGGCTTTTCCTACATAAATCCAGTTGTCCTCCATGGCAGGGGTGTTCTGCTGGGAGGGCTGAGCCTGGCCAGGGCAGAGAGGGGGTCACCTCAAAGAACTCTGCTGAGATCCAATTGATTTCAAAGATCAGAAAAGCCTTGGTGAGGTTCAACAGCCCCTTCCCCCCAAGTGCATCAGTAGGAGGTGAATGTGTCCATGGAAAACAGTGACAGATCCACTGGGATAACCCCCAGCCTCCCTCCATCCCTGCCCACAGAGCCTGCTCTGCATCCTCAGACTGGGGCTGGTGGCAGCTCAGGGGAGAAAGTGTGGGGCCCATAAGTTTCATGTACCCCCTTGACACCTGCAGAGCTCCGCTGGCCTTACATCCATGCATCCAAGAGGAAAACCCATGTCCCTACCTCAGCATGCATGTAAATATACGCTAATGATGTACCTCCCTCCAGGGGCCCAGGGGCATGCTGAGAGATGGAGATGGGGGGAAGAGGAAGGATCAGGTCCATGCCGTGCGTTTTCTCCCTGTCAGCATTTGGGGAGGTCCCTGAGTGGGTGAGGAGGGGTCAGCACGAGGGTTTGTGGATTTCCTCCTCCCTTTGGCTTCAGCACAGCTGGCTGGGGAAGGAGGTTGGCACAGCAGTGCTCGAGCTGCCAGATTCCACATCAGTTATAAAGTTACCAAGCTTTGAAAGTACCTAATTTTTCAATTGCCTTTGGTTGTTTGATAGTTTTTCTCACTCCTGAGACAATTTTTTTAAAATTATTTTGTTTCCTTTACCCCCTCCCCTTCCTCCAAATATTTGTGGTGAGGGTTCATGGGCAGTTCACATCCAAGGAAGATATATGTAGCTCCTGGCAGCCCCTACTGGCTGGTGGCTCTTGTGAGCCTTCACCAAAAAGGTGTCCTGAGACCTGCTCCTGTGGCACTGTGTCCCAGGGGTGGTAATGCCAGTGGCTCCCAGTTCTTGTGGGTATTTTTCATCCAGAGTTGCAGGGAACAGACAGATGTCACCCACCTCAGGTCTGGAGGTGGCTGATGGAGAGCAGGGTGACAGGGTGGGTCTTGCAACTCTTCACCCCAGCCCCAGTTCTGGGGCAGTGCCCACTGCTGGGGCTTTTGTCCTGAGCCCAGTGATGGCTTTGCTGGTGCTGGGGACAAAAGCAGTGGCTCAGTTGCTGCAGTTCCGTGGCCTGGAGCACAAGGATAAACGAGAGGAGAAGATCTGGGGGAAGCACAGATGTTGCTGCTGCTGGCAGTGATGCTGTCCATGGTTTCACCATTGGGAACCCAGCCTGGCTCTCCTGGCTGGGGCACCCCTGGACAGGAGTGTTTGGTGGGGGAGCAAAGCTCATCCCCCGAGAGGAGCCCAGAGGTGCTGGGCCTGTGCCATGTGTGCCAAGTGCCTCCTGTTCCTTTCCCGGGCAAACAACCTCTGGAGGACAAGGGAGGGCAAAGGATGGAGTTGGCTCCTCTTTCTGCTTCTCTAAGGAGCCAGGGGCGGCAGCTCCCTGCCTGGGGCTGCTCCAGAGGGATGGGAATGAGCAGGGCAGGGCTGGAGGAGAGTGGAGCTGGGGGCTTGGGTGGGGAACTGTGCTGCTCCCCGCAGCGAGCTGCAGGGCTTGGCTCTCACATTGCTCCTTGCTCCCAGGGAGAATTTCCAGAGCAAAAGCCACCACTGTCCTCTTTATGAATCCCTGCATGATGACTGCAAGGGCTGCCTCTCCATCCCCAGGCACATTTGGAGGTTGCACCAAACAGTGGGATTAGTCTTCGGCAGCAACCATCAGAGCCATTTCAGGTGTGTAGAGATTTAGGTTAAATATTCAGGGAAAAAAGTCACAGAAAGAGTTGTAAAGCTCTGCCCAGGGAATTGTAGTCACCATCCCTGGAAGTGTTCAAAAAGTGTGTGGATATGGCACTTGAGGAGACGGTTTAATGGTGAATTTGCTGATGAAGTGGGGTTGATGGTAGGGACATGGTCTTCTCCAGCGTTAATTATTGCATGATTCTGAATGGGAGTGGTGGGTGTGAAAGCCTTTCCCAGGCTCTCTCAGCTGAGTTGTTGCAGCCCTGCACTGTTGGGGCAACACAGGGATGTGTGAGTAGAGGCCATGGAGCAGTGAATCCTGCCTTTGGAGAGGGTGGTGGGGCACTGGCTGCAGGATAGGGGTGGCCCAGCCCAGCCCCCATCCCTGGAGCTGCTTCTCCAAAGAACATCACGCTCTAATGCCAAAGGAAAGGCCCAGAAAAATGTATTTCTGATCAGTTGCCTCCTGCCTGAGCTGATTTTTGGGCACATGTAAACTTTATAATTATGAGACTAGAGGTTGAACATGGACAAATATTAATTCAGCAGTCTCAGAGTGATTTTAATGGATAATTATAGGTTCTCAATCTGCAGTATTTATACAACCTTTCCAGTTAAAAAAAAAATCCAAACAGTTTCCATGCAGTGCATATTCTCCTGGAAGATTTGTTTGACCTTGAGCACCATTTTTATCTGCAGGATATAATTACAGTGAAACTAGAAATATTAAGCATTTGAAAAGGACTGTGTATCCATGCTTAACTGGCTCTCTCCTCTCTGACATGGGAATGTAATTGCACAGGAGTAGGGAAACTTGCAGAGTGATCTCATTTGAATTAGAAGCACTGGGGCTGGGATCTGGGGAACTTGCCCAGTTGGGACAGGGACTGACTGGTGTGTGTGCCTTATCTGGGGGTTCTTTGAGTTTGTGCTCAAGCCATTGCCTTCAGGAACAGTCAGAAGCAAAATTGCTTTATGCCCTGTTTAACCCTGGTCACCAGGGGTGCTTCTGGCTTAGAAATACTTCCCAAGAATCACAGATTTTTTTTTTTTTAAGGAAAAATTTATTTTTAATTCTCTTAAAATAGGAGGCTTTTCTAACCATGTGTCACCCCCCTTTTTTTTCTTTTACATCATGCTTCAAATCCAGTGATAGGAGGGAAATCAGTATCCTCTGGCAAAGAGGATTCATATGGAAAAGGGCTTGATGTAGCTTCATCCTGGCACAGCTGCATTGATCCCAGTGGCCTCACTCCTGATCAGCACTGGCAGATGGAGCCACATCCTCTTTGCCAGTTGGCTGATGGTTGGCATACGCATGAGGAAAAGGCTGCAAGGGCAAAATCCAGTTCTGGTTAAAAGCAAACCCCAAGCCTTGAACCTTCTGCTCAAGTTTGAGTGCCAGTGGCTCCTGAGTGTGTTGGTTTTTAACCCAGCCCTTGGCTGCATGGGTTTTAACCCATGGATTTTAACCCAGCCCTTGGCTGCACAGCTCTCACTGGGCAGTGATTTATCCATCACACTCCCCTTGCAAAACCAGCAGCTCCTTTTGCAGTTTAAGCCCTTATCCCGCAGGCACTAAAGTGGTATTTGGGGAGAGTCACCTGTGCTGGCCCCCATGGAGCAGCACACACACACACACCCTGCTGCTGGCAGGGAGGGGACCGGAGAGGCTGGGGCATCCCTTGGGAGTCCTGGGAATGCAGGTGCCAAGGGCTGCATCCAGGGAAAAGGAGCAGAGCACCTTGGAGGCTGAG